AAAAAATCCAGTCATTTCTTCTGATAAGATAATTCAAGACCGCAGTATGAGTTTTTAGTCATTTAAATAATCATATACAAGTTTGACCCAATTAGGCATCTTTAGCACAGCATTGTAGAAGTGCCAGTAAGTGCATTTTTAAGCTTTCAAAAAGAATTAATTAAAATGCAGCAATTAAATAAATTGAAGATAGCCATATGCTAATAAGATTGCCTTGTAGACATAGCCTAAAGGTAACCTTATTTTTTAAGAAACCTTTTTATTGAACTCTCACTTTTATTAGTCTCTCTCTCCCCCCCCCCGCCCCCTCCCCTTCCCTTCCTCCTCCATCTCACAAGATTGTTGTGGGGCAAACAGAAGGAGGAAGGAGTATTAAATTTGTTCACCACCATAAGTGATCTATTAAAATAATAACGGTGGGATGTTAATTAACAAATCTGCATAAGCATTTCAATACATTTCATCATAAACTTCCATAGCTAGTCTACATTCCATTATCTGCTACTGAAATTTAATAATATAAGGGGGAATGCAATTGCTCACAACTGTGAATAGATGCAAAACAATTTTAGGTTAACAAGAGGAAGGCTAATAAGCTAATTTTGGAGAACAAAACTGCAATATGGCAACTGATAGCTATGGATCAAGCAGCCTGTATTAAAAGGATTGTTTCAATCTAATTTTGATTGCCCTTTAGAGCTATTTTATATTAAGTGGTTACCATAAGTAACCAAGAATTACTTGCAAGCTAAGGCTTGGGGTTCCATGCTTGTATTTTCACGCATATAAATGAAATGGGCTGAGCAGAAGAAAAGGAACACTTTGTTTCTGTTCTGTAATAACTCAGTGTAGCTAAACTTTTGTGGCTTATTTTTAAGCCAACTCTGCTTTTAAAGGAAATATTCAAGTCGTGTTGTTTTGGTGAGACAGAAGAAAAGGGATGATGGGAATATCTTATCTCAAATAGGAAAAAAAATTCCACGTTCCTATTATATCTGTAAGCCGCTGGCTTGTCACCTGCATGGATTTCTGCTTTCAAACAGCATGAATGTTGTTTAATACTGTAAATTATTCTACTGTAATGCAAACTACTCGCTGCAGTTTTCTTGACTTTTAGAAAAAGAGTCATAAAGTGAATGATATAGAAAAAGCTTTAGAGCAGAGGTCCCCAACCCCCGGGCTGCAGCCCACTAGTGGGCTGTGGCCTATTTAGAACGGGGCCACGTGAGTGGCGGGCCGGCGCACACGCAGCTTGACTTGCATGAGCGGTGGGCCAGCATGCTTGAATCCAGTTGTGCACACATGTGCGCCAGTCTGCCACTCACACGAGTTGAGCTGCATGCGCATGCCCGCCTACCGCTTGCGCAGCCCACTTCCCCTCCCCCCCTCCAGCCCGCCGCCAAGTTGCAAAGTTTGGGGACCACTGCTTTAGAGGTAGTTCAATATAACAGATACTGAGTCCTGATACAGAAGGATTTATGACATCAAGCTAGTTATTCTTTTAAAAAAAACAGCCTAAAGAAACCTTGTGTAGAGATTCACAACAGAAAATAGCAATAAAACACATGGCTTAAGGAAATGGAGCTTGGTGCTGAAACATATTGCTAAAAAACCTTGGGATAATTATAAAATCACTGGAGTGTGTGTAGGAATCTATACAGCCAAATATCTGTTGGCAAGCTCTGGTGAACTTTTTCCCTAAGAGTGCTAAATCCCTCCACACAACAGTGCCCAAGATTTATTTACAAACCTCCTACTGACTTTATCCTGGGAAAGGGCCAGGAAGGAGAGCAGCGTACTAGTTGTGCACTAGTGCTTCAATGTGCCATACTTCAGGCTCCTTCTGGCAGTAGTATACTGTATTCTACTTCTCCAGCCCTTCTAAAGGAAAAGGAAGATGCCAAGTATACACTCAGAGGATATTACAAGGATACACCTAGGACACCCAAGCAGATCTACTTGTACCCCCTCCAGCTTTCCCATGTCTGTTCGTTCAGAGTTTCTGGGTCATGTAAGTACTGGACAAATTTAAACTCTCCACCCAGTTTTTCACTGGGAAGGTATGCCGTACGTATTGTGTATAATTGCTGATATTTTCCATATTCATCTGTCCATAAACTTCAGAGATTGGTTACTACTTTGTTATATTTGCTGCAGGATGATGCCATGCTAAGGAGAATGATTGAAATTGTTCTATTTGGAGTTACGGTTATTAAACAAAGCCCTAAGCCTTTCTTACCATTTGCAACTTGTAGATTGACATATAGAGTGGATTATAAATAGGACTAGCTTTTTTTTTTTTATAGTGGAGGAATGATTGGTGGGGGGATGCCTATTATGGATTACAACGTTATGCTCTGTAGTAATGATAAATCTTTCAAAATAATATGTAACACACTTTAAAAGATACATAGGAAACAAAGAACTAGGAATTATCAGCCTCTGAGTCTCCGCCTCTCATAAGAAGCCATTTTTGGAATTTAATGCATGTTCCATGTGCAGAAGAAGTTCATTCATGCAAGGAACAGTCTGAATTCTAGTTTGTTATATATTGAAGCTGTAAGCTGTGCAAAGCAAGTATGAAAATTGCAAATTGAGATCGAGAATCCACTTGCATAAGGAAAATTAATGACATAGAACAGAAACTATTCAGCAAAGCTAAATCTTGCACTTGTTTTAAAAAGTGTAGCATACATGAACTTGTGTGAGTTCTTAAACGGCTTTTCAATTCAATGTAATAGATTTTGTGTGAACACCATTTTCGCTATTCTTCTATATGTTCCTCCTTGTTCTTTACATTTTATGACTCATCCTCACATTTCCCCTGACTGCAAAATTAATGTCCCAGTACACTCACTGCTTTTTGTGCCATGTCCTCCTGATGCTGAGCCTGCAGTGAGATGCCTTAAATTAATTTTTAGCTGTTTTCACTTTTAAACAGTGTTTTCCCTCTTCTTCCAAACACAATTTTTGCCATGGTTACAATGTCATCAACTGTGTGGTTGCTGGTACAGTCCTGGGTGGGATCTATCTAACCCTAGTTCACCCTTTATGATTACTGTGGCATGCTGCCTCCCTTCTTGTTGATGCCTGCAGGGAGCTGGAGGGACTGGGGGAAGATAGGTAGGGGAGCACTGCAGCATCCCTGTGGTCGGTCAAGTGACCATGGAAGTGCTGCAGGGGCTGTAACTTCGGGTCCACCATAACATCAAACAGTTGCTAAGCGACCAGTCATTAGACCTGTACTTGGTAGTATATACTGTAGATTGACAATTGGTGTAGCAGATTTTTTGGTCAGCAAACTTCTATGAATGCTTAAGGTGACAGCATTTTAAGGTGGCTGTGTTTGTTATATGTGGATTGCCTATGAACGTAGACTTTGGACTAATATAATGAAATATGGGACTCATTTATACAAAATACAATAAGTTTAAAAGAAAGCATGACAACTGCATAAGTGTATTAGAAATAAATATATATAGTTGATATTAAAGTCTACACGTCCCTGTTAAAATGCTTTTGAGATGTTTTTGAGATGTAAAAAAAAGCAGACCAAGATAAAATCAAATCAGATTTTTTCCACTTGAATATAATGTATAAGCTGTACAATTTAATTGAAAAAATGAAATATTTTGAGAGAAAAGTAACAATAAAAATGTACAATAAAGTGGTTGCATACATGTGTGCATCCTCTTATAAGGTTGGGATGTGGCTTTGTTCAGAATTTAACCAATCACATCCAAACTAATATTAAATGGTAGTCAGTGCACATCTGCCATTAATTGAAATGACTCTGATTGAGCCCAGGTAATGTTCAGCTGTTTTAGTAGGATTTTTCTGACATTACTCAGTTGCCTCTTACAGCAAAAGCCATGATCTGCAAAGAGCTTACAGAGCATCAGAGGGATCTCATTGTTGGAAGGTGTCAATCAGGAGAAGGGTACATAACAATTTCCGAAGCATTGGATATGCCATGGTACACAGTGAAGACAGTCATCTGCAAGTGGAGAAAATATAGTACAAAAGTGACATTACTGAGAACTGGATGTCCCTCCAATATTGATGAATAAAACAAGAAGAAAACTCACCTGAGAGGTTGCCAAAAGGCTTATAGCTACATTAAAGCAGCTACAGGATTTTCTGACAAGTTCTGGTTGCGAACTACACGTGACAACAATCTCTCATATTCTTCATATATCTGGGCTATAGAGTAGGGGCAGAGCAACGCAAGGATCCTTGAGGGAAGAACGACGAGCAGAGGAGGATGGTGCGATCCGCAGGGAGGAGGAACAGGATGAACAACAACTTGCTGAGCGCAGACGGTGGGGCAGGGCTAGGAATGATCCTGCAATCACTTTAGCTGATCGGGTACAAACGAGGCAGGGGGGAAGGACGCTGCAACACGTGCACACGCCTATGCGCGAAGAACAACTTGCTGGGTGCGGATGGCGGAGCAGGGCTGGGAATGATCCAGCAGTCACTCTGATCAACTGGGTACGGACGAGGCAGGGGGGAAGGGCACCACAACACGTGTGCACACCTAGGCGCGAAGAACGACCGGGGAAGATGGGATCGAAAGGAATGAACAGCAGAAGACAGGAACGACAAGTGGTTACACCAGGGGGGGAGGGGGGAGTGGCAATGGAAGGGCACACACAATGCTAGATCGAGATATGCAGCCCACAATGACTACGGGAGGGGGGCGATTGAAAGATAGATCAGCAACAACATAGTATGGCCGTGTACAAGAAAGACGGGCGGGGAAGACGGATATGCCAGGAGAGGGGACACAGCAAGGAAAGGCAGGATTGACAGGAGTGGGAAGGGCAAAGAAAGGAACAATGAGAGGAAAGAAAGTAGCAAGACTGGAATGCGGACAGGGAGATACGGGACAACTAAAGCAATTATGGTCAGGACGGGCAGCCCCATTACACGATCAATGGGCAGAACACGGAGTCAACAGGGCTTATAAGCAAACTCCCCACCCCAAACTCTCACTGATGACGCTGGCAGTGGACCAGCGAAAGTGAAGGTTATTTTAGGTTTGTAAATAGTTGTTTTTATTATTTTGTGGAATAGAAAGAAAGTTTGTACCTTCCATTCTTTTTACATTTTGAACAGAAAAGCAATATTTCCATATTGAAGGCAGAACTCCTATGCAATATTTAAAACAGACTTATGAATCATCTAACTTACTAAAATTAAATGTTTAGTAATTTAACATTTTACTAGGAATTGAATGGCTTTAAGCACAATTGGACTTACAAATACCTCTATATCAGGGAATCTGCAGAAGGCAAATACTCCCAAAATATCACTTTTATTATCACCTAGCACCCTGAGAGTGTATTGCTGATTTGGTACTAAATAGCTACATTTCAGTAATATGATTTGGGGGATCATTTCTTTGGGGAATATAACAACTTTATACGGGTAAGGAGAGTAGATGGACAAGATAATGAGTTTTTTTGCAGTTGAACTAGTCTGCTTGACACTCAGATAATAATTCAGCTGAAATTTGAAAGACTGATTTATATATTCAGAATCTGTATTTTTTTATTTCATGTTCCAAACAAATTTGACTATTGTAATTATTAAAATTTTATGAAGATTGAAACAGAATGAAAGTTGTGATTTGTTTCTCTTAGTACAAAGCACAACTTAATCGCATGTGATTTTGAAAAGGAGTCAGGAAACATTTTATAATCTTATAGTGATATATGTTTTGGAGCTTTAGTTATTGGAATGAAAATTGCTGTGCACATTCAGGGTTAGTGATAAGTATAACAGCATCAACATGTTCTGTTTCTATTAAGATTTGGGACTATATGTCATAACTTTTTGGCAAATGTTTTGGTTCTTTTTTACAGGATACTCTCAAGTTGAAACTCTGAATCAGTTAATTGGAAGAAAGCATTGATAAGCATAGTTTATTCCACTTGCTGAATGAATATATAAAACCCTGATGTAGATTTCTTGAATTGTAGGATTTAGAGATGAGTTTTTAAATTATGGAGATTTTTTGTTGTTTTTTAAAAAAAAGCAGAATCTAGGAAATAGAATCCTAAAAGAAGTTGCTTAGGTTTATTTATCATAATTTCAAAAAATATTGCTGTCTTTTCTACTATGAAAGAGAAATAAGGTAGAATAATGTTTCCAAATCATGCCTCTATTACCCAACCTCTTAATAGCTTTGTTTCAGAGTGTAGATGCCTATTGCCATGGGTTTTTTCCCCAAAAATAAATGTTGCAGTAAAATGGATGTACTATGCATTGATGCGTTTATAGTTGTTCTATGTTACTTTTAAATTCTAAGTGCTTTGTTGTGCCAAGTGAGATTTAAAAGTGTGGAGAAAAGCACTTTTAATGAAATTCCAAATTGTCATTGTAAATGTATTTATTTAACGTCCATTATCAAACACATTAAAATATGAATTAATTTAACTCAATAAATAAATGCATTCCTTTACAATCTTGCAATATTAATCTGCCTCAGCCTAATGTCTTGATTATCTCAACAGATTCATGAATCATCCAGCTCCAGCAAACAGTCGTTATAAACCTACTTGCTATGAGCATGCTGCTAACTGTTACACTCATGCGGTAAGTAGATTTTCTGGAAGTCAATTCATACGATAGTCCAAATAATTCTGATTCCTGTCTGCCGTACGATAGTCCAAATAATTCTGATTCCTGTCTGCCGTATATACTAGTGCATAACCCCGTCCATGAATTAAGCAGACCCTCAATTTTTTAACCAAGATACAGTGGGAAAATGCACCATCTGCAGATAAGTCAATTGTGAAAATCAATACATCAAAATATTTTGAGTGTCAGCTTATCTGTGGGGGGCAAAACATCTTAAGAAGGTAGTAGCAAACCACTTGCATGTTATTGTCAGGAAAACTGGATGTTCATATCTACTCATCAAGAGTCAAATTCATTTCAAAGCATTTGAAAAGGCAGAATGCACTAATTCTTATTAGGCTTCCATACACGATCTCCCAAGATAATATAGTTTTATTACATTAAATTGCTTGGGCAAAGTTAGTGGCAAGGCACAAAGATAAATACATTATTATTAGTTCTTGGTGCTGAATTGATAATTTATTAGATCAGGGGAGCTTTCTTTTGTTATGCATTGCTTTAATTCATTTATCTGGTTGTGTTCTTTTGGTTTTTGTACAGTTTTGGCACTTTATACTAAAGTGAGGGTTCAACCAAAGCCTCGTAGATTCTTTTCCATTGTTTTCCTTTCATGGGACATGACATTCATTAAATATATTTATTATAGTAAATATAATATAATATAGTAATCTAATTCAGTACTATATCAGGTTTTGAGTCCTTCACCCTTGTCTCCCAAATTATCATGACAGTAAACTGAAATACTAAGATTTTAAGAAACTTAGCTGCAAATAATATTTTCCTCCCTTCCCCTTTCCCTTTAGCACAATTATTAAAATGCTGATCAACAAGTAGTCTGCCTCTTAATTGGTCTGTGTCAGCTAAATCGTTCTTCTGTTATTTCTGTATATCTTCCTCTTATTTCAAATTTTCCTTTTATATTAGGTTGACCAGCAATTGTAGATTAGACAGTGTAATAGTTAACATAGTTGCAATGGTCTAGTTGAGAAATCTTTTAAATAACATGATATGTATGGTATTTTTTAACTGTTAAGAGAATTGGGTATGATTTTTAATTTTTGGTTACAAAGACAGTGTTTTCATATAACAAGTGTGCTTGTAAACTGGAACTAAGGAGGCATCTGAAAATAAATTGATTATTTATATACTGTATGTATTGGCTGGTACCACAATAGTGTATAGAAAGTATTTGCTTATGTCATGCATCTTGGACTACACAAACATTTTCATATAGTATTTAATACATATAAGTGAATAAAATGTCTAGGCTTGTCATCATAGAAACAAGTGCATTTCAAGCAGGCTATGAAAATATTTTAGACATCTTTATATTTTAAAGACAATTAAGCACTTACAACAAATACATTAATGGAAAATTTGGTTGGTTTAGCCCTGTTTTTGAGCAAGATATAGTTGCCTGGTTCACAACTTGTTCTAAGCCTAAAGTATGGTTTATAATGGGTAGTTTATAGTTTTTACTGAACCAGCAATTAAAATCCAGCAATTTTAAAGACAGTAATCATGAATCTCTGTATCTAAAGCAAACACATTAGATATTTTGTAAATATTCTGGGGTTTTTTTTTTCACTTGCACAGTGAATTTAATTTCAGCTTATTCTGATCTCAAACACAACATGTTGCCTGACAGCTTGGTGCTACTTTGTCCCTTGACATGTGGTGTGTCTTTGTGACACAGCAATTTTATACAATAACAGCAGTTGCTATTCAAGATAACTGAGAGGTTTTGGGATTAAATGCTGGAGGAAATTAGGAAAATTGTTCCTCCTTTCCATGATAAAAATGGAGATTAAAAATATATTTATTTGTTGTATACTAGGATAATCTAATTTTGTTTTAAAACCCCATTTATTTTCACTTCATTTGAATCAAAGGCCAGAGGAAAAAATGTGACTATCAGGGCTTTGACAGCTATCCGAGATAAAATGTCTTCTGGGCCAGCCTCCTATGTGTGCCCAGGAGATCTTGAGAAGGTTTCAGACTATTCATTGTTTTAAGCAGGGCTGCTTTGTTCGTGTGCCAAATGCCTTATTGAAGTATTGGCATAGTAAAATAAGGTGAAGAGGGCAAAATTATAAGTGGTGTAAAATACAGAGGAGGGACACAGCAAGTAACACATTGTGTTGTTGTTTTTTTGGCCTAGTTTCTTATTTTCCCAGCCATTATTGGTAGTGCCCTCCTTCATCGTCTCTCTGAGGATCAGTGGGAAAAGATAACAGCATGGATATATGGAATTGGTCTATGTGCACTTTTCATCGTTTCAACAGTGTTTCATATAATTTCTTGGAAGAAGAGTCATCTAAGGTATAGATTTGTGGCACTTTCTTCCTACATACTGTAATCTGTTTCTAAGAGTGCTTTTAAGTAAATCTTTTATGTTGTTACGTTTCGGAGCAACAAAATAGATTTGTTACCATGGTTCTTCTTGGTATAATTTATCCTTTGGAGTTTTAAATATTCCCTGATATCTAGACCACAAAATGTCCTGAAAATTAAGCTACCAGGAGCAAATGTTGACTTCGTTAGCACTGATCGTAGGACTTAGTCCCACTCTTTGCAAGGAATGTAAACTCTTTAAAAATATTCACTTGCTACATTTTTGCAATCAAATAATCTAGAGACATTTTTTTAGTTAGTACCTCGAAATTCATTAGCAAACATGGAACTTCAGGATGAAGAAACTACAACATAAAGGCTTAACTTCCCTAGAATTATGCTCTTTTGCAACAGTTGTTTATGTAAGAAAACCAAATCTTACCCTCAACATTTGCATCCCCTTTTCTAATTTTGGGAAGAAAACTTTCTCAAGATCCAGTTAGCTTATGTTCTTCCTCAGTTTCATCACGCAGTCTAGAAGAACCTATACCGTTTTTTTAGTCCCTGTTTGACATATTAAAAATGGTTTTTACATTCACAACAATTTTAGGTCAACAATACAGGTAATCCGTGATTTAGGATCGTTCATTTAATGCCGGTTCAGAGTTAGGACAGTATTGGAAAAAGTGACTTACTCGCACCTATGACATCACACCATGCGGTCATCACATCCTTGCAGTCATATGATCTCAATTGGGCACTTGGCAACCAGTTTGCATTTATGACTGGTTGCAGCATTACACAACAGCAATTTGCAAACTTTTATGCCAGTAAGCTGAATTCGCTTAATGACCATGTGGCTCTCTTAATAACCTCAGTAATTTGCTTAATGACTGCTGTAAAAATGTCATAAAATTAGATCCAACTTGACTTTCAATTGCAACAACTTACAACAGAAATTCCGGTCCAAACTGTAGTCATAAGTGACTAACTTGTACCTCAGTCTGCCCACAGTGCTCCATTGCAGTTTAAGATGCCTATATTTAAATATTATTTTAAAAACAGAGACGTCCAACACATTCATAATTACAAACAATTCCAGTGCTGTTCTTCCAAAGATAAACTTCTAAATCCCAGCAGATTTATAAGGAAGAATTCTCAGAATTATCACATTTTGGAATAGGTACAACTTAATTCCATCTCAATTAATTATGTACAGTACCGGCAAGTTATCTATCTGTGCATCCATAAACTAGCCTATTTGCATTGTCATTACTAATGCTAACCTAACTTGAGTCTCATATTGTGTCCAACACAAGTCGTCTTCCTGTCTTTTTATTGAATGCTTACTGATCTCTAAAATACTAAAGCATTGCCCTATCTTTATCTACTTCTAGCTTTTTCTACAGAATAGTTCTAGGATTTATTCATTTGGATACATATGGAGTATGATCAAACACTATTTTTTTTAAAAAAAGACAGAAAATCTAAAGGCATCTTAAAGCATAAACATTAATTAGGAGAGTAAAATAACAAATCATCAATCAGCCTGGTCAAAAAACTTACTTCAATTAACTTATTTTTAAAGCACCCAAACATTCAGAATCAAGTGTGATTAGAGACCACAAGGAATTTGTCGCCAGTGCAGAAGTTCTCAGTGTACATGCAAAGCAACAGAGTAGTAATAATCATAATAATGATACCAATAACGGGGTAGTAGAGAAGATCAGAAAGACAATAATAATACTACAGCCATAGCACATGGGTAAATATACTTAGGTATAAGACAGTATTGTGGGAATTAGACGTTCAATAGAGTGATGGCACGAGGGGAAAAAACTGCCTCTGCATCTAGTTGCTTTCGCCTGCAGTGCCTTGTAAGTGGTGTCCCGAGAGGAGGAGTTGAGACAGTTAGTTTATGTCCAGGATGTGAGGCGTCTGTAGTCAGCCCTCCTTCTGACCCATGCAATATACAGGCCCTCTATGGAAGGCAGGCTCGTTGCAGTTGTTCTTTCTGCAGTTCTAACTATGGTTGGGAGTCTGTACCTGTCCTGTTTGGTTGCTGTACCAAAGCAGTCAGTTATAGAAGTATAAACGGCAGACTCAATAATTCCTCCGGGGCAATCTGAACTTTCTGGATTGAGGCAGGAAGAATATTCTTTGTTGTGCCTTTTTAACGATGGTTCTAATGTAAGGTATCCATTTCGAATTTCAGGCTATATTTTTAAAAATGCTTTGATGACCACACACCCTATTTTTGATCAATGAAACGTGCAATAGAAAGATGAAAATGTCACGGAACAAGTAAAATGTCAATCTTTAGCCTAAATGATATACCAGAATGGGAATTGGCTGCATGTGCTTCAGGGAGCGTGCTCATCCCTCAACTGCTGGGAAGACTTGATGTGCGGTGGAAGCTCCCCAAATGGGACATCAGACTCTCTCTCCAGAAGCCTCCTCCTCAGCAGATCAGCAAGCTGTCAGGAAGCCTAGAGAAAATGTAAATGGCTTCCTGGTGCCAAACATTGTGGAAAGGTCACAATGAGGAAGGAGGAAGCCTTGCTGCTTCCTTCCAGCAATTTTAGTAAGTGGGGTGGGAGAGGGAGTAGAGGGGAAGAAAGACTCCTAAAATTAAAGGCATTCTTGCTGCCACTATTAAGCCAATTTGCAAGTGACTGAAGATTTCATTACACACAAGAGCCATTTTGGCACTTAGTTTTCATTGTCAAACAAGTATGATAAATGAAGTCTTTTAATAGCATCAGTTTAAACAATGTTAATACACAATCATATAAGTAAACTGCAGTGAAAGGCTGGTCTGGTCTGCCCCAAATATATATCTATGAAAAACACAGACCTTTTTTCCTTCTCCAGGTACCAAAGTCCTAAGCTGAATTGCAAAGTAAATTCAAGAATTCTTTTCTCCAGAATTTAAGCAGCAAAATGACTTGGAACTTTCTGTTGTATTAAAATATTTTCCCTGAAATATTTACTAAACAAAAAACAAAGCCTCATAGGACAGATGAATAAAATCTTTGAACCGAAGACTCTAATATTGCTCAATTTTACATTTCTAAAAATGCAATAAAAATATGATTTTGGAAATAAAGACCAGAAAAACAAATTTGGATACTTGTTTGATTTAGATGCCTTGCAGATTTTTTTCCCCAAAAGGCTGGAGAAAACAAGCAACTTGTAACTGATCTTTCTATTTGACTACTTTAGTCTTCTCTGTCTGCTTAGTTCTTCTTGGGTGGAATTCCAGGCTAATAATTTTATGGCACTTTTTTCTGAATTTTTCCCTGTTTGCAATTTAGGACAATGGAGCACTGTTTTCATATGTGTGACCGAATGATGATCTATATCTTCATTGCAGCATCATATGCACCTTGGTAAGGATTAAAATATATGCTCTTGGGTAGAAAACAAATGTAATGCCATACCTTCCATTTGACGGATTAGTTAAATAATTGCTCCTAATCTGATGAGGCTAGAAACAATAAAAGTAAAATTTGCTTTCCATCTCATAAATTAAGTTGTGTGGGGGGGGGATTGTTGGTTTTTTTTGTCTTTGCATTTTCAACTTAGTTGACCTGATCCCACAAGATTAATACAGAATCGGATTTGTGCTTATTGAGGACCGTCCCCCAAATAATGTACTGCAGCTCTAAAAATGAGGCAACAACGTTCTGTGATGCTGCACTTAACACTGTACTCTTTTCAGAAAACTGAAATAATTTTAATCGGATTATATTGTTATAAGAAGCTACAGTATACATTTTTGTGAAACTGTAAGGTAATTTTATGTTCCAGTGTAATAAGGATTAATAAATTAAAATGTATAGGTAGTCCTCAATTTACAACCACAATTGAGTCCAAAATTTATATTGCTAAGCAGAATATTTGTTAAGTAGGTTTTGCCCCATTTTACGACCTTTCCTGCCACAATGGTTAAGTGAATCACTGCAGTTGATAAATTAGTAACATGGTTCTTAAGTGAATCTGACCTTCGCCGTTGACTTTGCTTGTCGGAAGGTCGCAAAAGCTGATCTTGTGACCCCCCCAGACACAGCAACTGTCATAAATATGAACCAGTCGCTAAGCATCCCAATTTTGATCACGTGACCAAGGGGATGCTGCAACAGCCATAAGTGCTGAGCGTTTTTCAGCGCTGTTGTAACTTTGAATGGTCATAAAATGAACTGTTGTAAGTTGAGGACTACCTGTACTTTTCTATCAAAACTTAAGTTTTTCAGTTCATTATTTAATGTCAGTTATTTGAATGTTCTAAATTTATTTATTTATTTATTTATTTATTATTTTAATTTGTATACCGCCCTTCTCCCATAGGACTCAGGGCGGTTCACAGCATATTAAAAACAAATAATAAACACAAAATACAAAAAATTACAAAATACAAAAATACAGAAAATAAACCCCGATAAAAGCCGAATTAAAACCAAATATTACAAGCTGTGTTTCCAATTA